ATTGTCTTTCTGTCTGGAAAATGTGCAGTAAACCCCCTCCCCTCTTTGTGTGTGTGTGTCTCTCCGGTCTAAAAAGAGGGGAGGGGGGGTTTGGAGGGACCAGGGTGGCGGAGGTCACTTTGATGTGACTATAAAGACACACAGCAGGCCGGTGGACAGAGATGAAAGAGAGCGAGCAGAAGTAAAATAGATCCTGGTGGAAAAAAAAAAAAAAGAGGAAGAGGAGCTGCAGTCTCTCCTCTCTCGTCTGCAGCTCGGGATAATGATGCTGTATCATAAACAAGAGGCGGCCGGGGAATAGAGCCGGCATCTTTGCAATTAAAGTGAGCAAACAACATTTTCAGAGCGGAGCTATGGGGTAGACACACAGGAGCGCAGCCATGTTGCATGCAAACCGAAGCAGGTTGATGAATTAGTATTCTTCAAAATAGGGCATTTGGCAGACGCTGATCATCCACTGTGACTTATTTACTGAATGATTAATAAACCGGCCTTATTTGAGATGATTGGATATGCAGCGATTAAGCAAATGAGATCCGTCTCTACAGCCGTCACGTGTGCAGATTGGTTGATCTTAATGTCTAAAGTGTTTTAATGCATGCATAACATCACATTCATACTTGCACCATGTTCCTAAAGGTTGCCTGCATGCTCAGCTTGGTGAGTTTTCCTGCCCCCATTAGGCTCAGTTGAGTACTGCAGATGATTCATCCTGCACTGAAACAAGTCATCATGACTCCACACCGGAGTCAGTGTTTTGTCATTTTCTCGTCTGAATGATTGAAAAACAGATTGTTGCAGCCACACGATGTCACATGGAGTGAGTTGGTGTTTCAGCAAACTGCAGAGGAAGAGCATGGGTGTTTCTGGGTGTCTCCTTCTAATAATGAAAACCCTGCTTTTCCTCCCTGTGTGTCTGGTGTGTGGGCTGTTTCTATCTGCAGCTGAAAGCGTTTTGATGACTGAGCTTGGGGTTTTTTTTTTTGTTTTTTTTTGGATTGAAGGTAGCACATACAGAAGGAGAGCGAGGAGGAGGAGGAGGAGTGGTAAGAGAGCAGCAGACAGTCACCAGATGTTTCCAGATCCAACCCACCAGCCAGCACAGCAGAAGTCAGATTTGTCTGTGCAGAGCAGTAGGTTGAAGCGTGTGTGTGTGTTTGTGTGTAATTATTACCCTGGCCAGGGCATGCCCATCGCCTGGGTGGCCCATCCAGGAATCCGACAGTGGCAGTCAGTCTTAGAAATAGCACAACATGTGAGAGATTTGTGCCTCCTTGTGAAAAAAGGGAGGGATCCGTGCAACAGAAGGAACTGGTGCGGGTGTATTTTGCAGAGATGTGTGAGTGTGTGTGATGTGCTTATAAGATAAAGATCAGATGAAATTTTAATGATCCCAAGGGGGAAATTGGGTCGCTGCTTCAGTGAAGGAGTGTGAATAAAATAAACGACAAACAGGACTTTTTTTTTTTTTTTTTTTTAGATCAAAGCAGCAGCAGCAACGTTGTTCCTATGTGGAGCTTTTAGAGCTCTCAAAGGGCGCTGCCTCCAACCTGTGCTGTGGTCATTGCCTGTATAAATAATGGACTTAGCTATGATGTCATCACGCGCTGGTTTGTTGCCTTTCTGAAGACCATGTTTGGACATACTGTTCCACTGCCATGTTGGTTTTAAAATCTGGTCAATTCAAGTGGCCTTTTAAGAAACTGCAGTTTGCTGGGTTTTTTTTGTTTTGTGTAATCGCTACGTGTTGCAAGCAGAGGTGTCACTCCAATGAATATCAAAGGAGATCACAAAAGTCGGCCCTTGAACCTCCACTCTTGATGTGCTCACAGTGCCCCCTTAGCCCCCTTCCTCCCTCTTACACACACTCACTCACACACACTCAAGATGCTGATAGGGTCAAGTCAAGGCTATCTCGAGCTTATCTCCCTCCTCCGATAGATCCAAAGCCGTGTCTGTCGGTGATGAAGAGAAGAAAAGCTGAAGGCCTCGACCGGGATCACTCAGCCTCTCAGAACGACTAGCAGACTTTCACGCAGTTTCCTCCTTGAACCCACAGACTGCAGGAACACACTGATGGGCGAGAGAGAGAGAGAGAGAGAGAGAGAGAGGGAGGGAGGGAGGGAGGGAGGGGTGACAGTGAAAGACGTAGAGAGGTGTGTGTCTGTGTGACAGAGAGAGAGAGAGAGTTATCAGTCATGCTGTCAGTCTCCAGGGCAGGTTGTGATAAGAAAGGCAGCAGTTGGTGTCTCTCTCTCTCTCTCTCTCTCTCTCTCTCTCTCACACATAAATGTGGGAGAAAGACCCTGTTGTGTTCCCCTCTGCCGCCCATGAGTGAACACAGCGCAGGTGTGCTGAGGTGAGCAGTTGGGAGTCTATGGCTGCCATTTGTCGACTGTATTTTGGTGCAGACAGAGGGGGGGGGGGATGCAGATGGTACGACCTGGGGAGAAATAGATCGTGAACAGGGCTCCACATATTGCAGCTGCAGGTTCAGTGTTTGATTTCACTGCTGTGGTGTTTGAACCGACTCTGACATGCGGAGTCCTGTGGCTTTATTACAAGCTGGGATCATACCAAAGTGTACCATCTGCTTACAAGGAGTTTCACTTTATTATATGCAGCAGATCTCGCTCATAATTCAGAGATTACATTTTCAATTTGCTCTTCTCTGTCCATCTTTTTTCTTCTGAGCTGCTAACTAGAGTTTGTTATTATCATGTTTTTGGTAAACGGAGCACATTTAGTCACCCTCTCCTCATCCGGTCTCCAGGTCCACATACTGAATCTGTGATCGAAGAAAATGACCTTTTGGATTAAATCACAGGACCACAAAAACTCATATTTCATAGGCAGGAAATCTTAGAAGTAGACGTCAGGCTGTGACCCAGAGTTTGACTGACGGGTGGTCTCTGAGAAGTGTTTGCAGAGTTAAATATGTGGCCAAAAGACGATTGCCAAGAGTGACATAAGAAGGTATGTGTGTGTATGTTTCCCCCTGTGGGGTGAATACAAACACTTTTCCTCCCTCCACATTCTCTCCACTTTCTCAGGTTCTCCTGTCGACTGTTGCCCTCCATTAGCCATGCGTTGACCCAATATTTGGGGGGGTTGAAGGCTGACGGTGGGGGCCGAGATGTTGACAAATGGGGGAGAGGAGTATCAAATGACCCCTTGGGACTGGGAGGGGGGGGGAGCAGAGCAGAAAGTGACCCAGTGTTGCTTGGAAGGTTTGATACAGGCGCTGTTTTCTCTCCTTTTTATCTGTGGAGGGGTCAAAACGGGGGCTCAGAGTGGACCGACCTGCACGTATCAAAAAGACTTCAATCAATGCACACACATATATCACACAAGCGGAAACAACTCGACAAAAACAGCACGTGGCAAACTGGTTCCTGCCAGCTTGGGCGCTGCGCCCACAGGCTCAGATTAGCCAATCACGACGCCCCTCTGACAGCCACCGCTCCCTCCAGCTAGAGGCGGGCTTAAAGATGACTGACAGGCTGTAAGAAAACTGGAAGGAGATGGCATCAAGTCAACCTGGGGGACGGGGACGTAAACAGCAGGGGGGGGTGACGGTTCACTGAGGTGACAGACAGTCAGACAGACTCGCAGTGACACCCAGACCTGTCATACAACCTTCAGTCAAGGTCATCAGACGACTCCTGTTGACTTTGTTTACCACTCGGATGCACGCACAGTCACACGTGATGCTGATCAGGGTTGTTAAGCATTTTATATTTTACCTTCATTTATAAAGTGTTTCTTTTTTACACAAACAAGTATCCTCCATGTCGACACATTCTCAAAGTACTTATCGTGAAAGGAAATTCAGCTCGGGGGAATTTTATACTGACAGGGAAGTGGAACCGAGACGTACATGTCACGCTGTGAACTGGCTATGTAAAAACAATGAAATAATGTTTTTTACCCTTCGTGTGTTTATGCAGTTTAACTAACAAGGTAAAGGGTCTTCTGTTGGAATGAATGCTAACAAGCTAGCATCTGACCGCAGTAATGGTGCACCTCAGTGTTTCTCTAACGTGTGAGGAGAGTATGAAAACTTGTGAAACTGAATCACACTTTCTTACGAAGCCGAAGCTTCCCGAGCTGAGGGGAAAGGTCTGCTATTAGCATGTCACAACGATGGTGTCCATTATCAGGAATATTCTCACTCTGCAGGATAAACCTCATGGATTTGTATTTCTTAAACCCCTCCACCCTTCATGTAAGAGCTTAAAGTTCCCGTACAGTCAGAGAGTTTACAGAAAATGACATCTCCCTAAAAAGTGGCTCTGACCTTTAGGAATGCACCTCGCTGCTCCAAATAAGGATGCCAGCGGAGGCCGCACACTGCAGCTCATTACACAGCCCCGTCCATCACGTTACACGGTAACACAAGCCACAGGCAGGGCACATGGGCCGGACCCTGCAGGCCTTTCTCAGCAGATTATTTTAAGCTCACTACTGTGTCATTACACGGCCTGCCTCTGTATTTAGAGACTGTTGATTGTAGGGCTGAGGCTGGGCAGGGCCGAGGTGGGCTCTCCCTCTCTGTTGGGGTGAGGGCTTTGACATTGGCTTTGCTGTTTGATGTGTGTTTGTGGGGAAAAGCGCCCTTGTGCCTGTGTAACTGCCTGAGGAGGAGGAGGAGGAGGATGAGGAGGTGGATGCACATGCAGTCCCACACTCCTCCCTGCATGTCTCACTCTTTCTGGGATTCTCTCTCCTTTTGAAAAGAGCCTGAGGAGAAGTTCTGCTGGTTTACCATCACAATATGTCTTATCTGCGCTTTATCTGTGGAAGAGTTCATATCTGTGCTATCTTGTGGTGGAGGGGGGGGATGCAGCTGAATGTGTGTGAGAGAGAGAAAGGGGGAGAAAGCAGAGAGAGAGAGAGATAGAGCCCTCCCTATAATCAGAGAGCGACGGGAGGGGGCGGAGCCGAGGCGCCGTGACTGTAACGCGATAGCTGCTCAGCTCAAAAGCGCATCACTCACACACACACTCCGCACACACCTCCCGGACTCGGACACACAAGCACTCAGGCCGGTGTGGGAGCAGAGCGCAGGCTGAACGGAGCCGTTACCAGAGAGAGACCCAGGATAAGGAGTAGCGGTGCCGCTGGAGGTGTCAGGACATTCAAATATCTTGTTTTGGGAAGCGGGAGCGCACGACTATTCCATATTTGTCATTCTTAGACTCTTCTAACCCTCGGACTGAGGCTTCCACAGCCTGTAAAGAGGGCTTTTTTTTTTTTTGGGACTTTTCCTGCACAGGAGAGCCGACCCTCGTGTGCGCAAAAAATACGCAGGAAGCGCAGAGAGAGAGAGGAGATAGCGGAGACTGGGAGCCTCTCAGTCGGATCTCGACGCGCCCTGGAGCCGCTGTCCGGACTCTCCGGAGCGCAGAAACCGCCCGAAGCCTCCGAGCTGCGGAGCGCACGCGGTATTGATCCAGGAGTTTGTTTGCTCACTGTTTTTCGGAGGACGTTTTATTCCGCTAAATGGACAGGGACAAAAACTGAAACCACTTTATGATATGTAGCCTAGTTGGAACTACTGTCCACCAATGGTTTAAAAAAAACGCCCTGGGATTATAACTGAACTGTTTCCAGACGGCTGTGCTCCTGAAGGGGTGTGGATTTTTTTTTTTCGGGAGGAAAATCAGATTTTCTGTCCTGCGAGGAGGAAACAACAGAAACTACAAAGCTCTCCACGAGTTTCCTCGTCGCCCAAGATGGATTTGGTGTCATCCTTGATTGGATTTTTACTGGCGATGTGTCATCTGGCGTTAAGAGCCAGAGGAGCAGATGATGGTGAGTTTGACTTACTACTTCTGAGATATTTCACGCACGCCTGTTCTGAACCAAAAAAACGACAAATCCAAAAGAAAGAATAGTTTTAATTAGCGCGCCATGAATTTATTCTTTAACATATTGAGTTGAATCTGCCGGACCTGTAAATGACGGTCGTTTGAAAATCATTTTCGTTTGAAAATGAGCTCATTGTCATGTGTTTGTGTATCGATGAAGCCGTAAAGACACGATAAAGCTCATTGTGTGGATTTAAGATCCTGCTTCCTCCTTATTCTGAAGGATGATTTCCTCATATTGTGGTCACGCTGAGTTAATATGTGTGTATTTCACTCTGATGCGGGGATGTATTTCTTTTAAATTATGGGGTCAAAAAGACTTGTTAGAGTGGTGGCTTATTCCGCCTCGTGCCAACCCAGCTGGCACACATATAATACTAAAGAACTTACACACCTTCATCAAATATTAACAGCATCGGAAACAGTTATCTGTCCCAGCCACACAGAGCGCAGGGTCGGGTCTCCTGTCAGCTCAGCGGACTGTGAATGAGATGATTATATGCATGAGGCTCTTGAAAAATCCAAACACATTGTTTACCCGCGAGTTTCCTGTTGTTTTTCTTTGATTTCATTCTTCACCAAGGGAAATAAACAAAACCCTCCTCTTCCTGATGAAATGCTTCCTCGCAATCAGGATGATGAAAACAGGTTTCAGCGCGGGTTTCAAGCACCGGTGTCCAAGAAGAGACCGCGCGTAAAAGTGCCATTGTATGATTCGTTCAACAGCACTGTAATGAGCACTATTATAATGAAGATCTCCGTCAGTCAGCACACGTAAGGTGGCTCGGCTGTGTGTTATTACCTCCGTGTGTTGTGCGCGCGGTGAAAGCAGGAGCTGCGGCGCAGGCAGCTCCACGCGGCGGCGCAGCGTCACCTCCCGCGCGCGCTCTGAGCAATCAAACGACAATAAACCGAGAGATTTAAGAGCAGAAAGAGCAGCATGTTCAAGTCATATCCATGCTTTAATCAGGGCTTATTCTTGTAGTAACTCACGGAAACCTGAAGCCTCATTAAATGTGGATTTAACACCAGGACGCGCAGGGTTCCATCTGGATACATGGAGATGTTAAAGAAAAATAATGTCGAGTCATTTGCTTGATTATGTCACCTGAAAGGATCAAGATGAAGAGCGGTTAGGATGTGTGTTTGTGGGAGAAGGGTTTACCACGAAGAGAAGTGACGCCACTAGTGGGATGATGACACATGGCCTCACGCTGCTTCTCCCTTCTTCACTCTGTTGTAGTTTTATTCTTACAGTAGTTCAACTTCAAATCCAGGGATATGATCCTGCAGACAGGTTAGCGTTCGTTTCCTTAAAAGGGAAGAGTATTTGAAACCGAGAGATTAAAGCTGTGAATGGTAAAATATCTGTCTGTGCAAAACGGGGGAAGATCTCTGCACGATTCTCATTGTCTCTGCTCTGTGGTTGTCACATGTTCTTTTATGGAGGTTTTTGTTTCCTGAGAATCAAACAAACAAACCTTTTGCATCAAGAAGCAAACATTTGGGAAGAATCTTTGATCAGAAGAGATCAATTTAAACACCGAATATCTTTGTTGAAAACAGCGACGATCTCTGCACAGTTCTGTTTTCTCTGCCTTAAGGGTGCTTGGACTCTGGTTGTGACATTTTTAATTCCGAGTGCCTTTGAACGCGCTTATAAAGGGAAAACATGTCTTGCACAATAAGAAGAATCTGTGTCAGAAAGAGAAAGCAAAGGATCAGTCAGTGTAATTCTCTGCATTCTATATGGTAATTGTTGCATCCGTCTCTCTCGAAGCCGTGCGTTTCTGTTCCTGTAATAATACGTCGTCTTCCATGTGTGATAGTTTCAGCAGGTTTCATGGATCTCTGTTGGTTCTGAGCGAGCAGCAGTCGGTGGGTGACGAGCTGTTCATGATCCCATGATGACTGTTGAGTCTTTACAACACCACCCGCTGCTCCGCTCCCCTCACATGGTCTCGTCCTCCTCCTTGTTTAGGCTACTTGTTTTTAAATAGGACAGCCACCCCTCCACATTTCTCTGTGTGTGTGTGTGTGTGTGTGTGTGTGTGTGTGCGTGTGCGTGTACATGTGTGTGTGTTTCACTAGCTGCCTCTGTACCCGTTGATCAGAGACAGATGTGGGCCTCTTGGCAGCCATCAGGGAAGCTCTCCCTCCCTCTCTCTCTGTGTTTCCCCGCCAAGACACTGCACCGCATGTCCCTGCCACTTCTGCCCCCCACCCCACCCTCCCTCAAGAGCCACATTACACACACACACACACACACACACACACGCCAAGAGGAACAAGAGACTGAGAAAGAACAGAACAGGAGGCAGAAGAACAGGGAGGTTCAGAGAGGATGAGGCTGCAGCAGAGTCAGAGAGAGAGGGAGATGTGAGAGGATGAAGAGCGTAAAGTGAAGGAAAAGAGGGGAGCACAGGAGAGGAAATGCTGGGGAAAGGGGAGGAGAGGGGGAGATCAAAAGCGTGCAAGGGCCACAAGTTAAAGCGGCACTGGACTCGGAGGGAGCGGATCACATGAAGGCTTTTATGAACTGTCGTCAAACGTGAGGAACATGGAGGCTGGAAATGAAAGACTCTGTTGTGACAGGATACTCGTGTGAGAGTGAAGCACTTAAGAGTCGTACTTAACGTTTTACAAGAGTCAGAAAACTGATCAAATTGGGCCTCGATGCTTTGGCAAAACTCTCCATCACAGAGCTTTACAGACAGATTTTCTTTTTTTTAATAGATTTGTTTATTAGGAAAACATAAACTTTACAAGCAAATCCACTGTCAACATGAACATTTTGTGGTGTGTTTCAAACAGACACAAAAACATATAAATAAATAATAATGATTACAAAAAATAATAAGAGGAGATTTTGTGAAGGAACGCGTGCACAGGGGGAAAAAAAGGATGTGAAACTTTGTCCACAGGGGCCGCCAAAATCCACACAAAATGAAAGTTCCTCACAATTGCGCTGGAATAAAAAAAAAAAAAAACTGCATGCCTGAGGCGTCTCGGCCAGGGACCTGTGAGTGTAGAAATGTTCCATGTTGTCAGGGTAAATGAGCCATAAGAGATGTTCTGAGCTTGGATGTCTCCTCTGGTGTCCTGCCGTTTTCACTCACCACACAAAAGGTCTTCAGGCGGCTTGTTTTCTGTCATCTCTCCCACTCCACTTGTACTGTAATCACCAAAGTTTGACTCGCTGACATGTACATCAATTACTGCGTTACCAGCAGCATTAATATTCAGGCCATTAAACAGCTCATTTGCATGTTTATTGAGTGGGCGGCTGTGCATCCTTTCCACCTATGGTATCGACTTCTCCCAGAGTTCTCCTCATTTAATCGTTTCTTTTCCAAATGCTCGCCCCGTCTTCTCCATTTGTTTTTTCCTCTCTCTCTCTCTCTCTCTCTCCACGGCGTCCCGCCTTTCAATTCTTTGCATTTCTGTGTTTTAATCTGCCCCGGCCTCGGAGGTATCAGCTGCGAAAACAAGGTCACCTATTAGCATTCATAGCTGAAGACAAACAGAGCGGGCCCCGTTCAATAGCAGTCAGGTATACGAGAGGAACAGCCCACCGCTCTCGGGGTGAAATTAAAAACAAGACCCCCATAAATAAACCAGAGCTGGGTCTTTCACTCTGTCACATTAGGCGCGCGAGGGGGTCTTAACGGGTGCTTGGGGATGGGTTTAAACGGGAGCCGGAGGGGGGGTTAGCATTGTCAGGACGGAGAGGTTTTAAATTTACTGTAATTTAAAGAGGAGGGGGAGTCCGGGGTGTGAATTTGAAGAGAGAAGGAGGGTTTGTAAGCAGTCAGATCCAATGAACGGTGACTTCTCTCTGTGAGGTGGGGGGTCCGGGTGTGCCAACAAGTCACACCACGACTCCTGCAGCAGTTCCTCACAGCTCTTCTTGCCGATGCCGACTCGGCTGTTTCCTTCAGACGGGGAGCTGTTTGAGGAAAGTGCCTCCTGTGCGCAGGTCTGACACCGGCGCACACACACAAAGGGAGCACCCAGAGAGACGGAGACATGATACTGCAGGCAGGTAGTGTTTAGGATTAGACCCACACCATTAAGCCCCCTCCTCCTCCATGCTGCACCTCCTGCAGGCAGCAGCTACCATCTGTTTATCCCATTGATCCATTGAAGCATTGATCAGGACGGCCAGCGCGGTGCATTTAGCTGATTAGCATGGGGCACTTATCCTGTTAGTGAGAGGGGGGGGGGGGGAGAGGAGGAAAAGAGGATTTTGGGGATATTATCTGGCTTTGATGTTGCTTTTGTTTGTTCTTAAAGGAGAGAAATCCCTTCTTTAACACTGTTAAACAAAAAGCCTTTGTCTGTGTTTGTTTCAGTTCTGACCTGAATTTGATCAGTTTGTCACTCAAATCCAAAGTCTTCTTGTTCATTGTTAAAAACATACGTCTGATTCTTTCCTTCCCTACCTACGGCACAGTTCCCTGAATGCACCACTGTGTGGTATGACGAAGGGCTGAGACATAATGCATGTTAGAAGAACATCAAACTAGGATGAAGCATTCAGATCATTTCCTGCTTGTTGTTTTTGTTGGAGTTTGGTCGATTCTTTTCTTACGAGGGCCTCGACTTTAAGAAAAGTGACAGCATCAAGTACAAAGAGTAGAATCATTCCTCCCAAAAAGCCTTCAGTAGTGATCACATTTAGGATGTTTCAAAGTGTATATATGAGGAATTTCACCTGGTGTTTAGATCCAATACATCCACACACAGAAATGAAATACAAATTATCCTGAAGGAAATCAGCAGCACTCCTCCAGACATGATATGTATCCCATGTGAGGAGTTTTTATCTGCTTATGAATAAGACTTCAATGTGATATTGATGACTCAATATGAAGCAAAAAAGAATATCGACACTGCGTTGTTTTTCTATTTGGTTATTATTTTCAAAGCCTCAGACAGACT